ATGAATTTTCCTTCCTTGTCCACAGATTGAAATGCCAATTTCCTCCAAGAATACTCTCCTAGACATACCCGGAAGTGATGGTTTCCCAGTGATGTGGATATGTCTTGATCCAGTCACAATTACACCTAACATTTAACCATCCAAACCTCAAGAAGAATAATTTAATCATGGGTTAGAATTTTGAACTTTATCTGATGGTAATGATACATAATTAAACATTTTAAACTAAAGAGAGAATCATGACCAAATTAAAGTGCTAAAATAATTTACCTCATATGTGGATAATGTCTTGATTGGAAAAAACCAACAATGGAAACCAGTAGAAGATTTAACAGGTTATTTTGTGATCCAGAAAAATTAAAAATTATGATTAAGATTAATGTGGAAATTGAGAGATACAAACAAATTTAATAAATGATTTTAACGTAATGACTCCTTTTAATTTGTAGTTGACTTCTTGAGTACATGTTTATTATTTTGATTTATTTATAAGTTCTTTCAACATCTTAAAATGTGTTAGCTATACATTTGTAGATTTTCTTTTGCCTTTTACTATTTGACATTGGATTTATTTTATAGTATTTTGATATTGTTTTCAAATCAACATTCTTCTTTCCTTGGTGTTAACATTTATTGTTCAGGAATTGTACCACCACCTGTGTAATCTGTGATATAATTAATACATATCAATACGCTTCAAGGTACAATAGCATAATTATATACCACATAATAACTTTGTAACCTAGAGAAATCTAAATAATAAATACATATGCTATAGTATTATGCTGTTATTTTAGAATTTCAATAGAGTAGAACAAAACAAAACAAAAATATGAGAACACTTTTTCACTCAAGATTTTGACTTATGTAGAATCTTACCTAAATATTTTGGGTTTTATTTTTAGTAAGAAGAAAAAAAATTGTGGAGGCCTAATTTTACTGAATTATATACAGCATAGACATGTAGTCCCTTTGATTTTAAAATATGTGTACTTGAAAATGTGGATTTTATTAACACTAGATAAAATAAAGAAAAATCTCAGTTTATATTACATAAGTGTTTCTGGTACTTGAGAACTCACAACTTAAAAGTTACTATGATCATCAGTATGGTGACCTTTAGAAACAACTGAAAAGACTCATTTTTTCTTTTAGAGCTTCACTTTGCAAATCTGTGACGAAATGCCTAAGATCAGACTCAGAACTCTCATATTGAAAGGAAGCAAATACATTTCTAATATTAACAGTGCTATTCTCTACAAGTGTGGCTGGGTATTATGAATGTGTCAAATGTACCTGGACATTTTTGTCTTGAGGAAATTTTTAACACCAGTATCTGATGGTTTTATAAATGGTATGATGCTCCTCTCCCCAAGTTTGTTCTTTGTCCCCATTGATAGGAAGACCATGCATCTCCTTTGAGTTAGGAGACTGTTTGAAGAAATATTTCAATATCACTGTCAATTTCAAGTTATTCTCATTCTCTAGGAGAGAGTAACTAATCTATTGATAAAAAGCTTCTCATCCTTTGGAATATTGGACTCAGTAAAGAGATTTATGAGTTCCTTTTGGACTGCAGTATCAATAATAGAACAAAATTAGTTACCATCCAGGGATAGATACTACTGCATAGCAAGTGTACTCCATTGTTTCCACTCAGCCTCCAGATCAGTTTTCAACTCTTCCTTCCTGTGTCTCAGATCATATCATACTCCTTTCGCTCATACTGGCTGACCTTAGCACATCCCTGTATGATATTACAAGAAATGAGAGTGATGTCTGACCGTTATTCCCTTGTCATTTTTCTCTCTACAAGGTTATGTCTTTACCAGTACACTGAAGTTTACTGTTCCTCTCAGTGTTTCTTAACTTTGGTGACTATGTCCCTCTGAATTCATATATATATATATATATATATATTGCCCTCTTGGGCATGGGATGGTAGCAGTGTGTTACTAAGCCTAATGATGCTTTTTCTATATGACACACCTGAAACTATACATTTGTGAATAGTCCTTTTCTAAATAAGTTACCTCAAGTTACCATATTTTGAATGAACCATCTAACACAGGATGTCCTCATAGCTAAGAGCTTCATGGAAAGAAGAAAAGATGACTGGCCTTTTGAATGGAACTTGTCAACATTGAGATTTTATTTTGTTTACCAGCATGAAGGATCTGGATTTTGTTTGATGATAAAAGCTACCCTATGGGTAGATTTAATTTAAGAAAAATATCTGCAATGAGTCTCACCCTCTTGAAGCTGTCATCAAGTAGTAAATTAAAGTAGAAACTACTTATAGAATAAATCTCTACTTCCCCAATTTTCCTTTGCTAATAAACACTGCTATCAAAGCCAGGACCAGGTAAGCTGGGACTAAAAGCCAGGATCATAATGTTGGGTAAAGGCTATGAATGGTGGGAAAAGTTGCCATCTCTTCGAATGAAATATACTCCAGATTGTTTCTATTGGTAAAATAGGAAGAATTTCCTCATTGATAGGAAGCCATGCATATCAATCCCTTTATCCCATTCTCATAATAGTTGGTTTTATTTCCTGACTTCTTTGAACTTGTGGCAACATGCGGCTCTTCCTATGTCCCTGTCTTATTGGGTCCAAATTGGAGCTCATGCTGTTTTCTCTATTCTTAAAGTGCAGCTGAGACTAGGTTAGTCCATCTATGCCCTAGACAACTTAAAAGAAATATAATCGAATATTAGCATGGAGCTTAGTAAATATGAGAAAATATTGATCTCATTTTTAGATTGGGGAAACTTGCAGGCATATTTCTTGACTAGTTATCAACATGTCTACATGTGGAAAAGGCTCTATTTCCTATAAATGTTGAAATGATTCTCAAGCATGTCTAGGAATTTCAAAATTTATACTCTGAAAAGATTGCCTTAGAAAGATTAAGGCATTTCTCATGTCTAGGTTAAGGACTTCCTCCTGAATGGTGTAGTTGTTCAAAAATACAAACCTACTTCCAGCTTATGCACCAGGCTATTTCATTCACTGGACTCTAACCCAAATTTTCTCAGACACACCATTACTGTTTCCTCAACCTAATCCCTTCTGTTATAAAAATGGTCTCTGTGGCTAGCTGTTCTACTTCACAATAATACTAAGCACTTAGCTCTTGAATCATCTAATTGAAAAAAGTACCTCCCAAGACACTTTAAGTGAACTTTGTCCCTCACTTGTTCTCAGAAAAGAGGATAGTTTGCATGTTTCACCCTCTGGCCTCTTTGTTCATAAAGGTGCTTGGCTCACGCTTTTTTTTTTTTTGTTTCCATGAGATCACATTCACAAAGGGTGGCTAGTATATAATAAACGCAAAATGGGCCTTACCATGAGAAAGGAAAAAGGGAAGACATGGATGTTACACTTTGATATCTATAATGAAATACTGCTGAACAGAAATTTTAAAGATTGGCTGCCTTGGAGATACAACACATCTATTAGGTACTAGTTTTGGTTCTTGCTATCACCCCCTCCCCAAAAAAGCCCCCAAAAACCTTTAGCCATGTTTCCCTGTGACTCTTGGTCCTTTACAAAGCTCTTCACTGCCCTCTGTGGCCCTATTCCATAGATTTCAACAAACTGTCCAGCCTTGCAACCCACTTAATTCTGTGCACGTATTAAAATTCAGGAATAGTTTTAGGATTTAACCAGATTTTTTTTGAAGTATAGTTTGTTGTTTCTTCAGCAATGGCATTTCCTTAAAAAATTTGCTTTAGGTTAATTCATGTCCAATAATTTTATGTTCCATTAATTACACCAAATTACTTTTCAGTCATCTTTCTGAATATTAAATATTCATTTATCCCCAAGATCATTCACCTTTCTTTTCATTTTAATGATTATAACTATGATAAAACAGGCTAATAGCATAAAAATGTTTTAATATGTTCCTTACCATTAGGCAGCTGGCTGGCTTTCATTTTTGTTGTTGTTGTTGTTGTTGTTGTTGTTGAGAAGTCATAAGAGATGTCAAATATCTGGAGCATTGTTTTCTACTATGTGAGTTAAATAAACAATTAACTTTTCCAACCCAATCTATTAATAGCTTCTAGGTGTTCTAGTGGAAGCAAAATGCAAACAAAATATCCCTTCTAGAATTATAGTCAATTCTACCTCTGGCTTGAAATTTTATCAATTTCTGACTGAGTTCATCTCTTTCTTATACCTTTCTAAAGGCATTAAGAAACACTCAATAGACTGCAACACGCAGTTTTCATCTCCAAGCCCCAGGGTTGCCTCTCTTAATGGCAAGTGATTTACTTTCCAAGTAATTGCATGTGACAGTTTAAAAGAAATGGTCACGACATAACAAGACTCATAGTTTTCAAATTTGCAGTATCTGTTTTCTTAATGTGTCTGATCCAATAGCACATACTTTAGTTTTTTCAAAGACAAAATTGTGTTTTCATTGCTTATTTTGTTACTAGTTATTATGTACGCTAAACTATGACAGCACTGATAACAAGATCCTAAAATGGGGTTCAAATAAATCAGCAGTTTTTTCTTTCACTCTCCAAAACCAGTGCAGGGTGGCTGGTTGAAATCTGGTTGAGGCAGTCATCTCAGAACATGGCTTGCCATAGTTCATCTCTGTCCTCAATGTATGTGGTTGTGATGGTTTACAAGGGCAAAATACTAAAAACTGTTAGCAATTGAATACTGGTTTGTTGTAGTGGAATATACCTGAGATTTTTAATAATTAGAATTTAAAATAAATCTAAATATAAATAAAGTGACAGTAAAACTTGTAAAAGTATATATATTCTTCCAGCTTAACAGATAAGCATCTATGGATAAAAATTCATGATATGATTAAACAAGTATAATATGATGAACATTTCATTCACAGTGTAGCATCATATTTCTAGGTTGATACTCTAATATTAATTATGATCACTTAGCAGCTTGATAAAATAGCACTCTTCCATGTCATTTGCATGTATAATGACAACTAGATATTTTTCTTTACTTAGTCATCATAATATAGAGTGAATAATACCTATTCTCAAGATTTGTTGAACATGACAGGTTTTCCTAGGGAATGTTAAGCCCACGAGTCTATGTAAAGTGGCCAGTATGTTGTTCAAAGCACGGTGTAGTTGAAGGATATATAATAATAAAATAAATTTCTACTTCTTTTATGTTAAATAGGTCATCATATATGCTTAATGTGCTGTGTTTAACAAATAAATTAATTTTTCAAAACAGAGAAGTTTAAACTTACCTGAAGGATCTGAGACTTAGTAAATCATATTCATTTAGTTATACATTGCACAATAGCACAGACAATTTAACAGTTAGAAATGGAAAGAATGAGTGCTTACATTTAGAGAGAAAGAAACATATTTAGGCATTAGTAAATAATCTTCTGCAATAATGTTTTGAGGGAAGTGCAAGGGAGCAAAAACAGTCAAGATTAAAAAAGATTGGAATACAAACCATGGAATATTAAAGGTACCATTTTTTAGAAATTTTGAAACTATTTCCATGTGTGTGACACAATTTTCACTGGCAAAAATATCTGCAGAAGTAGGGTGAAGAATGAATATTAGTGTCAAGCATGGTTAAGCAGGTGAAACTTCTTCCAAACAAGTTAAAAAAGTGAAAATAAAGTAAGAGTGAAAATGTGTCAAGGTTTTGAGCACCAATAGAGGCTGTGCGGTAAACTATCTGGTGAGAAGAAAGGAAAAGCATGCTTGAGGGTGGAGACAGAGGAGACATTACTTGGCTTTGCAATCCTAGTGGACCATCTTTGCACAGATGTTCAGTCTGCACTTTAAGGACTCTGCATCTGGCTTTTTAGAAGGTGGTGGAATTAAGGATTAAATAAATGAAATAAAGTTATGAATGTGAATGAGTTCTGCATAGCCAGAATGTAAAGCTATAATTGTTCAACAAATTAGTACTTTACTCTGTGGCCAGTGGGGTAGAAGTAAAGATCAAGAGGTCAGCAAAGTAGGTATCTTCCCTGCCCTAGTGGAACTTGCAGCATAGTTAGGCCAACAGAGGTAGGGAAACAACAATACACATTTTCAGAAATATATACTGTGGTAAGTGCTAGTAAATAAATTCCTGAGGTCTGTATTAGCATTAAATGAGGTTGACCTGGATGCTTACAGGGCTTTCTTAAAGAAGTAACTTGTCGAGTGAGAATTGTTGGATGAGAGGGATTAACCAGGCAAAGAATGGTTACCAACAAGAAAAATTCATGTTTTTTTCCTTATTGATGCATTCTCTAAACATTTATTTACTTAGTTATTTTTGCCAGAGTGATATGTTCTGAAAAAAATCAAATATCACCTAGAGATTTATGCTATGAAGGAACTGCTCAACATTGTGGCTCCTTAGGGAATTGTACAAAAGCTTGGGCAACAAAGAGTTTAACCAAATTGTTTAAAAGGAAAATCTGCAGAAATGACGCGTTCAAAGAGACTTAAAAGCACTTAGATGCAACCTTGGGATTCTAAAAGACAAGGAAAGCATGTTCAGTTGTGTGCCTGACCCAGACGGCATGTGTGATCAGGAAGGAACCCGAGCCCTGTGATTCCTTTCACCTCTGTCTAACCTTGAGTTTCTGCATACGAAAGAAAGGAAAGCTAAAGTAGAGTAGCAAAATGCCAAGCTGAGTGTCAGATGTGCACCCCAACACACACACACACTCACATGCATAGATAATCTTGGTAAATACTGTAGGGCTTATTCCTAAGTATTTAAGGAAACCTCTGTGGAATCACTAAGCCAACTAAACAGATCACGCGGGCATAAACAAACTAGTTAATGAAAATTACCTAAAAAACAAGAAAGTTTTTGTTACTTTTCCCCCTCTCAGCAGCGCATTACCCTAATTGTATCCCGCTTCTTTTGTGTCTGTATTTTTTGGTCCTTATTTCATGTTGTAGCCTTTCCTCAGATGTCCTATAATGCATGGGTGGGTGTCGGTCTATATTTAAAGTTAAGACACTGAAAACTGACTGGAAGTTCTGATTCCCTTTTTCAGGGTGAGTTCTGTGCCTGTGAGGAGACCTTGCTGATGATTGGAAGGAGAATGTCAAGCATCCAGAGAGGTTACAGAACCAGACAACCAAAGGACTTTTACCAAGACCACGGAGAGATTCCAGGAGAAGATACTCTAGAATGGCAAATGCAACAGAGAGAAGAGGTCTCTGTGAAGAGGTCAGTGGATTTGACAAAGAACAGCCTGCAGATGGCTACAGAGAAAGGTATTTCCACAGAATTACAGGTGTACACAGAAGGCCAGAGAGGCAGTGAAGGTGTTGGTGGGTGAAGGCTGTTTTACAGATGATCTAATTGAAAAAGATAGAGAGAGAGTGAGGATGAATTATAATCTGAAGCGGAGCCAGTTTGGGTGTTTGTTTTAGATGGTCTCTGTTAAAATGAGACAAACTCAAATGAATCAAGACAGTAGTCATTTTAAATTTTTCATTTACAAAAGCTCCTGCAAGTGATGTGCACAAAATGAATTTAGAGATTTTAATTTAATCTGTAATGGTTTCTCTAGTCTTTTGATTGATGGGCTGATCTATGGAGTAGTCTAGAGACAGATGGTGGGAAGGAGGAGGAATATCCAAAGGCCTAAGTCACTAATAATTTAGAACATTGGCCCCTGAAAAATGGTAACCATGGTTTAAGAAGGACCAGAGCCATCTTTTCATAGGATTGAGTTTACCTAAAATAATGTTATAAAATGTTGGGCCTACATAATTTAATATGGTAAAGAAAACTTCCTTCCTTCCTCCCCAGTCTCCTATCCCTCTTTCCTTCCCTTCTTTCTTTCCTCTTGTAATAAGTTCAAAACTAATAAATGTGCTGAACTGGGTAGAATATTGTCTATATCAATCTATCATCTATGTATCTATCATCAATTATCTAAATATACATGTGTATGGTTTATGTAGTATGCATATATAGAAAGGGAAAGGAACAGATTGATTTTTATTTTTTAAAGATTCCATCCAGTTGATGACTGGCAGAATAGCAGAAAAGTAAAAGAAGACAAATAGAAAAGAATTTCACTGAATATGTCTGATAAAGATATCATAAAAATGTCATTCCAATACTGCAGTGGTACTTTTTTGTCATTGCATTAGACTGGAATGCTTATTTGAAACAGGATCAGAATAAAAATGATAAATTATAAACATTTCTCTGAGGCAATGCAAAGTTAGCATCACAGTTTTTGTTGGTGAATAGTGAGAAGATCAGGCAATTGGGAGCTAATTTGTGTTTTCATAAGAGCACTCAGGACAGAGTGGGGCATAGATAAATGAGCATGCATATTACTCTATTTAATGGTTTATGTGGAGGTTTGGTAGTGACCCAGTTTAATATGTCATCAAGAATTTCTTTGGTGTTCAATCAACATTTTTCAGGTGTTTTTGTCATTTTATCAAACAGGACCCAAAAGTTACAAATTCTTAGAGAATAGATCTTTCATCCTGTGTCTTTTTCTCACAAATTGTGTAGTTCAGCATTTTGTCTACAGAAGTTTCTTCTAAGAAGCTTATATGGTGTCGGATGAACTAATGACAAAAGGAAGTAATATTCCCCATTAAAGTCCTCCAAATGAAAGATAAGGGATTTAATACAATTTGGAACCTTAAAAAGAGAACACTAATGATCAAACTTCTCATAACGCATTAGATCAATAATATTGAAAACTCTCTTTAATAGACAGAAAATGTTTTAAATTTACTAAAAATTGAAGTAAAAATTCTTATTGTGAGTGACTCCATGGCACCTGGATGATTATCAGAGTTGTGGAGGAAAATCTTCAATAGGATTGTTTTCTGTGTTCTAAAGGTACTTACTCCATTCGGTTATGTAAAATAGTTACTTTTCCCAACAATTCAACATAAAACAACACAGGAACAAGAAAATGGCTGGTTACTTTTGACATCTGCTGCGGCGCTTTACATTGTTCAGAATATTTATCCACTGACCGAGTCCATCCACTGGGTCTTGCTTCTGGCATAGATGATTTACTATATCCTAATTTTTGTGCCTGGTTCCTGTGAGATGGGCTGTAGGGTAATGGTAGAGGCCCTTTAGCTGGAAGTTTATATCCAGTTTAATTCTAAGATCTTCTCAACATAAAACGCAACACAGTATTTTCTTTTAAAATTGGTTCTAAAATTCCACTTTGAGCTATTTTTAACAAATGCCTTTAGTCCATTTGAGATCATTTGGACACCCTGGGGTACTGACATTAGCTCCTATGTGATACTTCTGTTCCATTTTTTTCCTATTGCAAAGAGACCACAATCAGGGAGTTATGTTTGTGGGGCTGCCATTGATAGTTTTGTTGGTACAATTCTTCATTTTTCCAGACAGCCTAAAATACCCCCACTCACTTTGAAATGCCCCTAATGGATTGAATTTCCTGAGTCTGGATACCACTCAGCTGAAGTGTGAATGTGGGGTAATTTTGACAATGAAATGGGAATTGATGGTTTGGATATGTTTGAAGAACTACATTTTAAACAGTTGGTGATGGATTATGGTTGCATTTCAAATTCTCTGTTCAATTTTGTGGTGCTCAAATGCCTTAAGGGAGAAAGACTTTAAAAATCATAACGAAATTTCAACATATTAAAGTTATTGCTAATATAACTTTATTTCTTTCTCACAGTATCAGTATACAGTGGGGGATTGCAAACCTGAGTCTTGGTATTGGTTTCACTGGAGGTATATTCATTTAATTGATAGGAATAAATGCTTTAATAATACTCAAATCCAGAGAGTATGTCAGGAGAGATTCACATAACATTTTAGAGCACTTGAATGATTTTTTGAAAATTATTGGGGAACATTTCATGTGGCCCCAAGATGTGATATCAAAACAGATAGGCATTTTAAAAATTATGGTCATTTCCTTTCCTCTATAAGCCTATTTTGCCTTGCAAAATAATTTTTATTTATGCAATATACATATTTGAGTATTTTCATATTATGGGTTTTCTTTGCATCAGAATTTTTCCATTTTATTTCTCCCTCAGTAAAAATGAGTCACTGTGTATTCCTTGTCTTTTACTTCCTTTTATCTCTGCCTGTAGAGTGAGAATGCCTGAGTTGACTTTTCTCTCTCTCCTATGGGAACATCACAGTCAATAACTTTAATGAGAACATTTGATGCATAAATATTACAAATCTGGGATCCCAGTGATGAGATGGTGGAAAGAGAAATAAATAGCATAACTGAAACAAATGTGATGTTAATGGTGCTACAGGAACTGCTGTCCTGTGAGCAGTCAGCAGTGGAACTCTGGTTTTCCCAATAGGAATGGAAGCTTTGCAAGGACAGAGACTGTCCTATGGCACATAAAGAAAGGAAAATAAAGTTGCTGTTTGACAAATACTCTGTGGTTTGAAAGTCAGTACATTTCTTATGAAGACAAAATTTAAGTCTAAAAAAGAAATTTAAAAAGTAAAAAGCCATCAGAAATGTAAAATAATTATGAAATAGAAATTAGCATGAGATTTTCACATTTATCTTGATTGGCTTTTAAAACAATATGTAGACCAGAAGAGAAAATACAGCATCCAACTGTGTTGGAACCAATTTGACTCACATTTCTTTTTTAGTGAAGTACAAAATACATCAACTAAAATAGGTAGACTTTCTTGGATGTAAGCCCTCTTCTACTACATTCTATGTAATGTGCTTGCACCTGTGTTTTCCTGTAATTTTACCAATAACAGGTCTAGGGAAGCGCTGCTCCCATTTGGCCTACAACCAAGCCAATAAGCAAAAACGTCATTAATCACTGTCACTTGTCAATTCTCCATTCAAGAAATTGTCTCTTTTCATTGTTGCTACTAAAACACAAGGGAAATTGATAAATTTTGTTTGGATAACTATGACTAAGTTTTTAAAGATGGAATTTTTTTCAGAGGGACAAACGTGGCATTTAAAGGTAGATTACAGCTGTGACTGAGTATATATATCTGTGCAAGCAAAACCAGGCACATACCTGTGGCTGGCTATCCAAGAGATGGTACTGAATGGGATGTCTATTTTAATACAGTGCTATTTCTGCAGGATGTTTCTTCTTCTTGGTGGTTGCAAACTCAGTTATGATGTAGGGTAGCCATGGTTGTGTTCTTCCCATTCACTCTGCAAATGCACCTAACAATGGAGATGCAACACAATCTAAGAGAAGAACATCCATAAGGTCTTCTAGGTCCCTACCCCAAAGGTTAGGTTATCAGCTCCTACTCTTCCTTAAACAGAATGGTCAAATTAACATATATCCAAATCGCTTAATTCAATTTACAGAAACTTGGAATGGGCCGAGCAAGTGTTTCTGTTAATCTGGGAGAAACTGCGTGATTTGAGAACCTGCTGATAGAAAATATTTAAGTCTATAAATTTTACTGTATAGGATTTAAATAAGTTCATTAGGGGCTCCAAGGTGTAGTCCATTAGTGATAGAAGAAAGATAAAAGTTGGAGATGGAAATGGAGACACTATCTGCAAGCAGTATGTTGAAGTGGCTGAGAGTATGGTTATGAAGTGAAGCCAATCTGAATTAGAGCCCTGGGTCTACCTTGTAAAAGCTTTGTCACCCTGGACAATTTAATAAATTTCTATTTTATATCTGTTAAATGACACCTACCTGGCAACACACACACACCCCTCTTGTAGAGTTCAGTGTTCAGTAGCAAGTGTCTAGTGATGTAAACACAAAGATTACACATGCATAGACTCTGTAAGTGCACAACTATAGGATTAGGTTTAAAATTTCATTATTTTCTTTTGTAACCTCTGTACAGCACCACTATTTTCCTTAAATTCTTTTATTGGTACATTTTAGGTATACAGTATATTTACATTTATCATTGGGTGCTTGTACCTGTACATGATGTATCTTGGTTCTTATTTTTTTCCCCATTACCTGTGCGCCCTTCATCCCCTCCAGCCTTCCCTATTTATATAGATTTTGTTGCCATTTATTTTTCTATTCTAATAATTTTTCCTTTCCCTTCCCTTCCCACTACCCTTACACCTTTGGAGCTTTTCATATTTCTAATTATCAATTATTCATTTTAGTCCTTATTTACACTTTCAGTTTCTCACACCAGAGAAACTATTTGGTATTTACATGTGTGTCCTATTTATTTCACTTAAGAGTATGGCCTCAA